TGTTTATTTCTAAATAGTAGATTAATAGGCATGTGGTCAGTGACCATAATTACCATTAAAATTGTGAGTGGCCATAATTACCCACTCTGAAATAAATAGAGTCTTCCGGAGCGCGCGGACTCATAGCAACAAACCAATGTTTCCATCCGGGTTCTTATTCCGATGACTAATAATAAGAGGCTACTAATAAATCTGATATATTTCCTATTTCTAAAGTAATAAATAATGATATTGTCTTCTTTTCGATGTTATTTTATGAACATAACACTGAAACCTTTTAAAAACCCAATTTCAAGCATGTGTAGGCCTATAGATCCCAACTAAAAGAACTAAAATCACAGTTGGCCTACATAAAATACAGCCGCACTTTATAAATTATTTTTTTAAATGTATTTAAACTTTAATACTAAACAAATATTGATGCAATGGTAGTGTCAATTTGTCGTAGCAATTTGTCGTAGCATCTGTTTAAAATATACGATTTAATCAAGTCAATTTGAATAAGTTGGCCAATAAATAGATATGCCTAGATGTTTTGCTAAAATACAGTACTAAGAATTTCTACGTTTCATCACTGGTGTTTATTTCGTCTGTTCTCCGCTTGATGGCGCCACACATTAACACATTACGGCCTTCTCAATTATTTTCTTGGTTTCGTTTGCTTTGTTTGTGTGCAGGCTTGTTTTTATTAGGCTATATTCTCTGGAGTAAGTCATAGTAAATTCATATGCTAAGGAAAGCACTGACCACGCGGGTATTTGTTTTCATCCTGCTGGAAAAAAAAACATTACATTAATAATTACATTAGGCAGGACTGAGTTGTAACCTATTAAAGTTAAACGGTTTTATAGAGCGCATGACACAACAGCAACAGCAATAAAAAAAAATAATGAAATAGCCAGACACGTTTGATTTATATTTTAACTGATTACACTGTCATTTTATTTAAAAATAAATAAATAAATACAAATAAATGATGTAGCCTACATCATAGTCTCATCAAATGATATGATCAATATCTTAAAATGTCACTTTGTATTTTCGAGAATAAGTAAAACATTCCTACAAGGTAGTATTCACAGGTTATCTCTCAGTGAGGATCAATACATTCTCCCTGTGATGGCCTTTGGAACTTCAGAGTGTCTTTTTGTTTTTCTCCACTGTTTTGGGTGTTGAGCAAAGGGCCTGATGTGTTTACTTCTTCATTAACACAGAATACTCTAACAGGAAGTATAACTAGCTGTTGGTGGTACGAGAAAAACCTGCTTGTCAATCCAAGCCTCTCAAACAGGAAATTACTATTACTTCTGTGCTACGGAGACTTTAGTTGAAGAGCATTTGTGGTTATCAACAGTTGAGAGTTTCCTTCAGTGTGAGCAGTGTGCATGTGATGGCCCAGACAAAAGATCCAAACTTTGGGCAGTCATCAGGCACTAACTCTGCCCTTCAGAGGCTGGACACGTTAGCTAGCCGATTTTTTTACAAATATCGAAAAGGGCACCAGGAGAAGGGACTAGAGAATGAGGGGCCACATGTGTCAGAGTATACCGTTCTTTGGGATGCAACAAGTAAATCAAAGCCTTTTAAGTGAAATATTTTAAAATACTTCATTATTTCTATTAAATGCACAAAAGGTCTGTTTTCTTAAAATGATTGACTCTTGATCTAAATAAACTCATTTCATATACTGTAGAGAGTCTCTGATGAATTTTCACAACCTCTATTGAAGAATATGATGTAGGTTTTTTTATTGTAATTAGCTGAAGCGTGCAGAGTAAAATGTGTTCGCCTTTTTCTAAGTGCATACAGTATATTTCTGTACACTTTGATTGTTGTCAGACTTTTTGTGGTTTCGACAGGAAGAGATCAGTTTGCTTTTCTAAAGCCAGCAAAACTTAAAGCGCACTAAACCTGTTCGTTTTACAACATCAAGTTTCCATTACATAAAGTATTATCTTTCCTTAATGGCAGACCTGATAATACTAGGTTGCCGTGCTAGGCTAAAATGTAAATGTAACCAAATTGTTACTGATAATACATCCACTGACAAACGTATGCAAGTCAAATCTCATGTTCAGGTAAACCTCATTAAGACAGATATCATAAAAGTGATGTCTATATAATGTGATAATATTACAATGTTTGTTGTAGCTGGTTTTGTGAAAACAGTGCTATTTATCTAGTAAAGCTGTCAAGTGGAGAGATAATATTCTGTAAAACAGTTTTTTTTTATGCAGTGTATAATTTTTGTAGTGCAATGTTGTCTCACTGTCATTTCTCGATCTGCTATTAATTTGTTAATAAATGTCAGAAGAAACTGCTGTATTGATCAGATGAGTATCACGTAGTTAAAACACATTTGTGTGCATTTTAAAGTAATTTCAGGAGTCTCCATAAAATCAAGATACGTAAATCCAAAAGAAAGTCATTGCTGATGTGTGGCTAATGGTCAGCTGGCCGTTGTAGATCTACATGAAATGATAATCAAAAGATGGCAGTGTTGTCCTTTTAATTTGCATTTTATGTCTGGCTTTGACTGACCAACCAGATTAAAAGACAAATGAGTTGATTAGTCACTAGCAGCATCTCTTTTGCTGCCTAAATGAAATGGCAAGACCTCGAACAAGCAGAAACCATCCACATTTTATAACACATCCCATGTTGAGCTATTTTTGCTTTTGTATTTTGCACTTTTTAAAAATACGTTTCAGTTTGCACAGTGGTTTCACATGTTGGAAATGTGTTTTCATAACACAAAACTCAACTCAAATGCTCCACAGCATGCCACTCTCAGAAAAAAAGGTACAAAAGCTGTCACTGGGGCAGTACCTTTTCAAAAGGCACACTTTTTGTACCTTTTAGGAACTAATATGTACACTTTAGGTACTAATATGTACCTTTAAGGTACTAACATGGACTGTTTAGGTACAAAGGTGTGCCTTTTGAAAAGGTTCCGCCCCAGTGACAGGTTTTGTACCTTTTTTTCTGAGAGTGCAGAAACCTATGCAACTTGATATCTTTCAGTTCACTAGAGAACACACTTTTTTTTAATATTTGCATTTTTTTTTTATTATGTCTAGCATATGGTGTTGGCAGAAAGATAAAGGCGAGTGCCTCCACTGACATTTAAAATCGCCCCCTTTTCAATCTTGTTCAAAAACATATAATAACATTTCGATCCCTTTCAATGTAGTTCCCATGCTCAGAACTAGAAATCCCAGGGGATGCTAACAGAATGATTCATATAGACCAACTTCAATGCATTAAATAAGCTGTGTGTTACGAATTTAAATGGATTAAAATTCATATAAGTTGAAAATGTTTTAAGGATTATGTTCTGTTCCAAATAAAGGATTTTATTGTTTATCTGAGAATCATGCATTGAGCTATCCTTTGGCAGTTGATAATGTTAATTGTGTTATCTCTTTAATTAGTGAAAGAATTCTTTGCACAAGCCAAAGAGGATTTCTTGAGAAAATGGGACTTTCAGCCGCAGGTATGGGAGCATTATTGCAATAAACAGGAAAGTCAGTTGTTTTCAGCAGAACTAATCGTTGACTTCTGGCTTGGGTTCTGCAGAGCACATCGTGTCTAGATGACTTTGACAGATTGAAAACTCTTGGCACTGGATCTTTTGGAAGAGTAATGCTTGTCAAGCACAGACAGTTGGGACGATACTATGCTATGAAGATTCTGGACAAAGAAAAAGTGAGTATGCATGCTGTATATCCTCCTGCAGGACCCAACCATTTTATTTATTTATTTATTTGTTCTCTGTGCAAGACATTTGTTTTTGTGAATTTCTATGAGACATACCATTCTTTAACACAGTCCTGGTGTCTCTTATTCATCCTGGGTCTTTCTTATAGATGCAGAATGTATATTATTTTCAAGTTTTAAAAAAAAAAGAGTATGATTTTATCATAAAGATATTTATTCAGTGCATCACTGTAAAAATAAATAAATAAATATAGTTAGTTAGTTAGTTAGTTAGTTTACTCAACTTATGGAAAAAATTGTTTGATCACCATAACCATTAAGGGTGTTCTGTTATTTCAGAGAACATAATAAGCTATAATAAGTTCCATAAACTCAAAAGTAAGTGATTTAAGACCCGTTCACACTCTGTTTATTATGAGCGAGTTTATTATCCGCTGTTTTTGTGTTGTCTGCTGCTTTAAAGGCTCGAGCTCTTTCCTCGGTGGATTCTGATTAGTTGTCATTGTTTTTAGCTTTCATCAGCTGGGAATAAATACTGTTCCTCCTTGTCATCAATGTTATAGCTGTGGTGTGGACTTCCCTATTATCATAGAATTAGAACAATTATTAATGCTTTGTACTTTTAAACTTTATTAAAACTTTACAGTTATCATTAAGCTCAATAAAGTTCAATGAGTATCAATATTGCACATTGCTGATGCAATAACTAGACCTTTCCACTAAACTAAACTAAGCTAACTTAATTTGTGCAGTTAGTGTCACAAAATTTAACCAATAAAAATTGATAAAGAATTGAATCATTAATGGTGACTTTAAAAAAAACATATTAAAAATATTAACAGTAGATAGAGCTAAAACATTTATTTTTATTTTTATTTATTTTATTTAGTCATTTATCAGACACTTTTATCCAAAGCGACTTACAAATGAGGACAACAGAAGCAATCATAGTATTAAAAGCTGCCGCGGTAAACTAAGCTTTTTTATACCCGTCTAACAAAATACTACATTAATTCAGCTGGACACACTTTCCTTATTTTCTCCGCAAGAAATGGCCAAGCAAGCGCAGACACTGACAAGATACGCGATACAGAACGAGACCAAACGCGATATCAGCACGTCTCCACACAGAAATATATATATATAAATATATACATATCAATTCTGATTTAACACAAAATATGCTCATACCTGTAAGTCCCCATTCTTTTACCAAAAACACAAATTATATAAGTTTATTATGAGTGATCAGTGATTATCAGTGACTTGCATGCTTGGCACCAAATTTGACATTGTAAGCTCTTGCTGTGTAATATTTTAAGTTGCTCAAACTAAATGGCCTAACTTTATTTTTTACGTAATGGCAGCGTTTTATTTATTGCATGTTTTACACAAATACATTTGCTATGCAAATTATATAAAGTTGCATTCAACCCAAATATTCAGATGTGTGCAGCACATTTTATGGCGGACTGTTTACTTATCCTGGGAGAGTAGACAACAATGCTGTATGTGGAAAATAATGTGTTTTTTAAACTTTAAACCACATAAACACATTTCATTACACCAAATACACAAAATAATGTTCTTTTTAGCAACATCATATGACCCCTTTAAGAGTAAACACCTAAATCAAAACACTAATACTGTACAAACAAAACATTATAGGATAAACATCATTTGTTTAGATTTTTATATAATCTTTTTTTATCTGGGGGTACAGAAGACTGTAAAAGTAAAAACTGATTTGTGAATGAAAATGAGCATGGTTTTTGTAGGTATACCTCTATTTAGGTTAAGTTTCTAAATAACTGAATCCTGATGTTCCCCATAGAGAACAATATAAAACTAAATGCATTTGTGTGTTTTGTATGCTCTAAACTCTGTTATTGGGTTATTCAGTTGGCTTAAATGATTTCAAATCAAATTTACAACAAACAGTTTCTTAAATGTTCAAACATTGAACCTGATTATCATTTTGGAATTTCAGGAAATTCAAAAGCAGGTTAATCGTCACGGTTTCAGTTGAGTCTGGTTGGTCTGGGCCTTGTTTCATGTGTCAGATCATAATGTAAAATGGTACAAATATATTTACAGAGCAGGGAGGAAACTGAAACTTCCTCTGCTGACAGGATCAAACCGCAGCGAGCAGCCTAATGATGTTTCCACTGTTGACTGTCACATAAGACTGCTAAAGTGTCATGTAACTTATGAAACCAAAACATATTTTTGCTATAACAATTTATTGAGAGGATAATGCATTAAAAAGTTAAATATTAAATATCAAATATTAAGCTTTGTTTTTTTTCTCATGTGACTCTGATCTGACAAATAAGAAGAAAAAGTGAAATGTGTTGTGAATCGAAACTGTGGATAATACTAAAGTCACCCTGTCTAGAATTATTACTTTGTAATCATTTTAAAAACACAATTATTGCCTGATGGTGTTTTTACATATAGAAATAGGGTACGAAAAGGCTAATGTTGTTTTATTTTACCAAAATACTGGAAATGTATTTAATGAGAATCCCTAAAATTATCACATATCTTTTGAAACAAAGGATTCAATCCTATTAATCCATTTTTTCAGTAATTGCCAATAAAAATCCCTCTTGATGCTGGTCGTATATCTACACTATATCACTAATTTTTTAGTGATATCATAATTTTTTTTTTTTTTTTTGTGCAAATTAGTTTGCATTAGCAGTATTCAATAAAAAAAATTTGTTACTATACTATTTTTGGGCCCAGGGGGGATTTTTTTTATTTTTATTTTTTTATATATATATAAATAAATAAATAAATCTATCCCTGAAATGTGTAGAATTGTAGTCTGTTTGTTTTTGTTTCTTTCTTTTTTTTATTCTGTATTTCCTCCTGTTTTTGACGATTTTTCAGGTGGTGAAGCTTAAACAGATAGAACACACATTAAACGAGAAGAAAATATTACAAGCAGTGTCCTTTCCTTTCCTTGTGAAGCTGGAATTCGCTTTTAAGGTACACATTCAATTTATATTGAAAAGAAATACAGTGTCGGAGGGTGTGCTTCTAGGATGTAGCATCATTGTCAGGGTTAAAGCTACTGAAAAAATTCAGCGTTATTACATGAAAAACAGGAACTAATTGTATTACATAGCATTATGATGTTTTCATTTTTAATTACCGTAACAGGATCATTCAAATTTATACATGGTCATGGAATATATCCAAGGTGGTGAGATGTTCTCACATCTGAGACGGATTGGAAGATTCAGGTAAACAGCTTGAAAACTAGCTAATAAAATGTCCTTCTTATGTGCCTTTACCTGTCTTTTTCTCTTATAAATGCAATAAGCATGTTTTTTCCTCATAGTGAGCAGAACGCACGTTTCTATGCTGCTCAGATTGTTCTGACCTTCGAGTATCTTCATGCTCTAGACCTCATCTACAGAGACCTTAAACCTGAAAACTTGCTCATCGATCATCAGGGATACATCCAGGTGTGCCAGTCACTTATTACCTCCGATTAAATGTTTCCTGCACTTTGGTTGTGTAATTTATATTTTAATGAGCTTTTATTTATAACTCTTATATTTGAATGTGATTTAGGTAACAGACTTCGGCTTTGCCAAACGAGTCAAAGGCAGAACTTGGACGTTGTGCGGTACACCAGAGTACCTGGCTCCAGAGATCATTCTCAGCAAGGTAAGAAAACACAGTAGTTCTTACTCCTCTAGAAGTTAAAGAAATCCTCAATGTTTTCTCTCTTTCTTTGTTAGGGCTACAACAAAGCTGTTGACTGGTGGGCATTGGGTGTTCTGATCTATGAAATGGCTGCTGGATATCCGCCTTTCTTCGCTGACCAACCTATTCAGATCTATGAGAAAATTGTATCTGGCAAGGTCAGAAGAACTTCAGTCATTTATTACAGTACCAGTAAAATTCCCTCTTGGTGTTGGCCCTACTGTATATCTATACTATATCCCTATTTCTTTAACCATTTATTTTTACACAAATTATTTTGCTCCATCAGTACAATACAGTACAATAGATAAAGTGCAAGTCCTCTATCCATAATATTGCTTTTTCCAGCGAAAAAGTCATCTCATCTGAATCAGGAGAGAAATATGCACAGATCTGTTGCTGTTTACAAGTGGAAACAATCCAAAACTGTTGTAACAAATATGTTGGTGGTTTTGATGTGAGAGGACAACAGGGGATGGACTTCTTTTCTGAGGAAGTGTGGATATGGATTATGGACTTGAGTTTTACTAATGTATTTTTACATTTAATTTTACATTTAATTTATTTATTTATTTTATACATAATGGAAAATATGATGCAAAATATGATTATTTTTAAAATAACATGTCTTTATAGTAAGTAATAGTGTGTGTGTGTGTGTGTGTGTGTGTGTGTGTGTGTGTGCGCGTTTTTGTGACAAATGAGGACATACATTTGTATAATGACAAGGGTATGACATAGGTATTACAAGGAGAAGGTGACTTTTCAGGACATTACCCCATGTCCCCACTTTTCAAAACGCTTATAAATCACACAGAATGGAGTGTATTGAAAATCTGAAATAGCACAAAGTTTCCTGTGAGGGGTAGGTTTAGGGGTAGGGTTGGTGTAGGGCAATAGAATATACGGTCTGTACAGTAGAAAAACCATTACGCCTATGGGATGTCCCCACAATTCACAAAAACAAACCTGTGTGTGTGTGTGTGAGAGAGTGAGTGTAATAATGCTACTGTAGCTTTATATGGTTATTCTATGACTGCATTTCTTTCTTAAAGAATAATTGTATTTCAGATAGGTGGTAGAAAGTGATAAAATCAAACAATTTCATATAATGTTTGGGTCTACAACACTGTAGTCATGCAGAAATGAATCAGTAAGGGCTTTAGATTTGTGCAGCATCCAAATGAGAATGATTTACACATTTCTTTAAATGAAATCCCCTTTGGATTGTTAAGCAATTCTGCTTCTGTCAGTGCTTCTGATGAAGTATCTTGTTGTATCACTGTTGGTTTGCATCCACTATGCACTTCTGGGATAGAATTAAACCACATGGTTCAGATCAGATGCAGTGCAAAGCATTCAGTGTGTTATCACAGAAAATACTGAAGGTACAACTGGTTTTGTTCCCTCTTTTACAAAGGAAAGTACTGTGTTTATATACCAGGTTTGTTAACTTTTTCTTGTACGTGTTTTGTCTGCTGTGGCATTTATTTGTATTCAATGGTAATTTATCCTGTATATATCCTGTAGTATAGGTAAAGGTTGTGTACAAAAAGTTGAAGGCATAGTTTTTTGTATTTTCATTAAAAAAGTGCAATTATAACATTATACCTTGGTATTAAATTTTAAAAAAGTAGTGCTGAAAAAAACTGCTGCAAGTGTGGTTCTAATACAATGCCTGAGGGAGTGGAGTACATTTGACTGCTATAATTTCTCTATTTTTACACCAGAAATAGTGTGCAGGATAGGCTTCAGTATGTTGAATATACAGTTTTTTGTGGGGAAACAGTATATTGCTTAAAGGGGTCATATGATACGATTTCAATTTTTCCTTTCTCTTTGGAGTGTTACAAGCTCTTGGTGCATAAAGAAGATCTGTAAAGTTGCAAACACTAAAGTCTCAAAACCAAAGAGATATTCTTTATAAAAGTTAAGAGTTAACCACACCCTCCTAAAACGGCTCGTTCTAACACGCCCCCACATACCTACGTCACGATCTGGGAAAATTTGCATAACGCCGCCCAAATGTTCACGCAAAGAAAAAAGGCGTAACTTTTATTCTCGCTGTAGTATTGTTGACGCTGCAGCCATGTCCTGAAGACGCTGTGTGCTTCGTTGTGAAAGCGAAACT